AATAAAAGATAGGATACTAACAGTATTTAAGCCAACCGATACACAAGGTGTTTACAGAGCTCGATATCTTCCATTGTCTGTATGTGTTTGCAGGAGAAAAGAGCAACAAGGACAGAAAGCTGCGATACCACTTGCAACCAGACAATTTACAGTATACCAAATACACCCTGTTTAAATGTCAAAATGAACAAAAATACTTAACAAAACATTTCCATAACTTTGTCAACAAATCAGTTAAAAAGGTGTGATATTTATGAGTTTTTGCCGCTCTTGCCAGCCAGCAGACACACAGACAAGTGTCCACGGCCATGAATGATAGATGTTCTGTAACGGGACACGAGGAGAAGACATGAAGCAGTCTCTCTCTCTCTCAGCCACTGTTGTGTCTCAGAGCTTCTTTTAAACTCTGAAAACCAAAGGCTGCTCTCAACAAAGACTGCTCTGTGTTTGGGGAAGTGGAGGGCCCCCATCGCCTCCCCCAGACTCAGCTCAAAACCTCTCTTAATCCACTCCCCCCCCACCCTTACCCAACAGTAAATCCACTGTTAACACTAATGGTGATGCAGACAGACATTGCACTGTTAAGCTGTTTCTAAGCAGCAAGACAACAACCAGACCACACAGTGAGGTGCACTGGAGGTATGGGTACAGGAGGGGGCAGCAGTAAATCAACTATGGACTAGAGCTGTGAAATTAATGATTAGTAGAGCTTTGATGCCCCCTACAGGAGGAGGTCACGATCAGGGGCGGACTAGGACTAAAAAAATCAGCCCGGGACTCTCGACCGGCCCTCTTGGGTACCGCTAGTAAATTGTCAACGGGGGGGGGGGGGGCTAGTGACTTATCCTCCGACCGGCCCACCTCGGTACCGCAAGTAAATACCACTAGTAAATTATCAACGGGGGGCTAGTGACTTATCCGACCGGCCCACCTCGGTACCGCAAGTAAATACTGCTAGTGTCTTATCCGACCCGTCCACATCGTCCGACCGGCCGACTTCAGTCCGCCACACGATTGTAGGTGTGCGTTTGCATAGCCATTAAATAGATGGACTTCCATGATGCAGATTGGACAAATATTGGTCAAAATCAAAGCAAAAATAACGTTATTTGAGACGGGAAACACCTAGAGTGGTGCAAATAAGAGTGTAGCTTCGAGGCTCGAAAACCGTCTTCGTAATCTTGTTTATTTTTGATTAAATGTTTCCTAATTCAAATTTAGCAAGATGTTGGGGGAAATGCTTGTTAAGACAGATTTACTTTTGAATGTTGCCTCATTCAGATGAATAGAAAAGGAAAAACATGAGTGTAAGAACAATAATGACAGTTTGAAAATAAAACACCACTAAAAGGTCCACTTACTTGTTCCTGAGCTTTTGGTTGGTTAACAAGGTGCTTTTAAAACCTCTCCTGCGAAACAGCAACACTAAGAACATTGTATCTGTTGATGAACACTGCAAGATGGGGTGGAAATAATTTGAAGAAAGACATGATTATATTCTTTAAAGTCAGAAAAACAAACATGTCATTTTCGTCGTGTTATTGAAACATGGAGATTGTTCCTTACAGTGATGACAAATTGTAATAACCAAAAAAAAGCACAACGACCACCACCTGTGCAACTTCAATCTTTTTGTTCCTTTTAATTCAAAACAAAATGTAATCTTTACACATTTTGTTTTAAATGTACAATCAACGTAATCATACATAAAATTCTTCATAATAATGCACAACTCTATCGACACTACCCATAAATAAAAAATAAAGAAAGGAGAAAAACATCCAGATCAGTATGAAATACAATGTTAGGCACCACCACTGGTTAACAAAGACGGTGCTCTGCTGCCCGTCACAAGAACACAGGATGAACCCGACCTTCCTCACACACTCTCTCACACACACTCACACACACACACACTACTGCCACCACTCTACAGGTAAAGTGCTGCCGTTTGTCCCCGCCCCACCACCGTCTCTCCGTCTCCCTTCATCGTTTGTAAAAGGATCACAATATGTTCTGAGGACAAAGAGGGGAAGGTTGGTGGGGGGTAGCAGGTGGGTTTTTAGGGATCATTTATGGGTGTGAAAGCCATACAAAAACAACCTTTGCCAGGCACTTGGCAGATGTTGCGAGATCGGACAAGATTTAGCACAACCTGCTGTAACGAAAAGCAGCCTGCAGGTGGAGCCGTTTGTGTGATTTGCAGTAAATTACATTACTTATTTATTCTGAGTTAAAGAGTCCATTCCTGTCTGTGGAAACAGCGGTTTTTTAAACTCTTTTTTTATATTATTATGATTCGAAAAAGTGTGTGTTTTTGACTTATGGTAACAAAATAACAATTAAAAACATTACGGTGGGTTATTTGACAACAATTGGGCTTGTGTTCTTACTAATCAAATACATATTAGTGGTTTAGTGACATTTGATTTCCTGTCATTTAAGCCTCGCACTGAACGGCAGCGACAAACACACACTTACATTCACGCACACACACACACACAGCTGGATCAGTAAAGAAAACACACTCATGAAGGTCTTTTCTCCACGTTTCTCCTTCTGAAATTGAACATTTGTTCTTGAAATACAGTACCCATCTGTGTCTCTCTCTCTCTCACTCTCACTCACACACACACACTTGTTAAAGCCATCTCATTTTGACTTAAGTTCACCCAGGGGAAGCAGCCATGCACAACGCCATGTTTGGGGGTGAGGAGCAGGTGCTGGAATGTAGTGGCGGTAAAACGCACACACACACACATTTAAATCACAGGTTAACAATGTATTACTCTGCAGGACGGACATGTGTGGTGTGTCGTGTGCAAGGGGGGGGGGGGGGGGGGGGGTGAGGAAAGTGAGCTCTATTCTTAGAAGCCTGGAGGTGTCGAGGTTTCTCATCGCGTCCCTCAGCGGCGGTCATTGATTGACGGAGGGGAGGACACGTGGGGGGGTACAGGGTGTGTGTGTTACAGGTGAAGAGAGAGCATGCAGGTGTGAGGTGTCTGCAAGTGCAAAAGTGTTGCGATGTGTGTGTAGAAAGTGCATTCCTCGTGTGTGTGTGTGTGTGTGTGTGTGTGCCTTCAGCAGCCACTATGATAACAAAGTTTTATCACGTTTCCTCTCCCTCTCATGGCCTGCAAGTCTCTGTGGAGGGCACGCTCCGTCCGCCAGGTTCTACAAAGCTGGAAACTAAAAATGGAAACAAAACGGGGTCCGAATGTCAGAGATTGGAGCCGTCCAGGAGGTGCACTTCCTCCTCGCTGTCGTCGCCCCCCCGGCCGTCCTGGAAGGAGCCGATCAGTTGAACATGATGGACCCGGGATCTTGGTCTGCCATTTGAGCCATGTGACGCAGGATATCTTTTTTTGTGATAATACCAAGAAGCCGCCTGCAGAAGGAGACAAAGGGAAGGAGGAAGAAGTTTAGAGAAGTGAGGAAGAGGAAGGAGGTTTGGAGTGAAGGAGAGAAAACAAACGTCATGTTTTTGTTGGCGAGGAACTCTTCAATCAGGGAGCTCTTTGGTTAATGACCACATTCATTTTGTGGACGTTGATTAGCAAGCCAACAAAAACATGAGTCCCTGAGGAGATAAAAGTCAGCAGGAGGACAGGAAGTGAGGAACCAGGAGGAGGCAGGTCTGAAACAGCACCCGACTGTCAGAGAGCAGGGTGTCGTTTCAGACGCTGCCGCCACTGTTTTATGTCATGGCTCCTAAAAGCAGGTGAGAAGGAACAAGGAACAAGGAGACAGGAAGTAGTGAACAGGAAGTGGAGAAGAGGGGGGTGTGTCACAGGAGTCAGAAATCATTTAAGAGGATGTGGAGATGGGATTACGTCCCACTTTGAATGATATCTAATGTCTGCTGTTACTAGCAGGAATGAAGAAAACCTAACAATATGCTTAAAAGTACATTTTATACATTAATTTTGTCTGTAGACCCTATTTCATTGTCATTTTACATTACTGATGGTATTCTATCCCAATTCTGTGTTAATTCTATGTATATGAAAGGAGCTTTACTAAGACTTTATCATTATCTTCTAGTTAAAATACATGTAGGACTGGTAGAGACTGCCCTGGTGGGACTATCAACATTTCCATAGTGACGTGAGCAACTTCTGACTCCTGTGACAGATTCCTTCTCCCTCTCCGTGAGAGTAGATGAACCTGATGGACCCAACTATAATGAGACCGGGTCTGACGTTTCTAAATATTCAGTTAGTGAAGGTTAGGTTTCTGCTGATTTAGGAACACATTGCAGGTTTAGGGTAAACCGAATAAGGCTCTGATTCTCCAGCTGTTTAAACGTGATTGAAGTGGGTTAGGGGACAACAAGCTCAGGTTTGTTTTCATATGGACTCAAGAGAGTTTATGTTCGACTCACATTTGGACATTTAGCTTCATTTGAACTCTATAAGTGTAAACCAAATGAGTGAAAGGAAAAGTTTGAGATGACCTGTGGAGGGTCAGAGCTCCTGATGCTGTCGCTCGTATAAAAGCATAGCAATAACAGATGTAGAAGCTCGGGATACCTGGAACAGATCAGACTGTATAAAGGGTCGGGGGGGGGAGGGGCAATGTTCCCTGTGAGCCAGCCGTGTCCAGAGACGTCTTTACAAGTGATAACTGGAACTCTGACATGTAAGCTACTTTGATTGGTTGATTAATTGTTTGAATTATGGCATAAAAAGGTTGTTTTCAGCCTGTCAAATATATAATACATCTGTTTTAAGTTAGTATCTTTTGGTTTAGGACTTACACAACAAGACATTTAAAAAGACATCTACTTGTAGTTTGAGCAACTAGTATGAACACTTTTCACTCACAAAGCTGCAGTTACCTATCATTTAAAGAATGATTGAATTGCAGCCTTATTGACGTTAAACCTGGACACACTTTGGCTCCTTAAGTCATTATTAATATATGCATTGTGAGCTGCTGGTTAATATGTATACAAGAATTCCTTGATAATGTGTGGGCTAAATCTTCTCAGTACTCAAAAGAGCATCCATTTTGTTTATAAGACACATTGAGTGTCCTGCCCATGGACACAGCTGGCTAAGAGGAAGCATTGGCAGGTTAAAGAACAGGATTAGTAATGACTTCATCAAGGTCCTTTTATCACCACACGCTAACTACAGCTCTACCGACACCAATCAACACACTGCACTACAGAATGAGGGGAGACCTACCCCCCCTCTCCCTCCCTGCTGATAACACACACCACCCACTAAGGATATGGAAACAGAGTCCTAGCTACTCGCCAAGTGGTTGTTACGGTCTGATGTCTTCGCTCTGTGGAGACCCAGGGAAACGGTGGGGTCGAGAGGGAGGGGTTTAAAACAAGAAGAAAAAAAGCACACGTTAATGAGGGTAGAATATCGAGGGTGGGTGTATTGTGAGGGAGGTGGGAAACACTTAACAGGCATCATGGTTACATGACTGCACACGTGCTGAGAAACTGTACAGCATGTGCTCCAAATCAAACCATCAGCTGCTACGTAGTGACTGCAGAGGAGCAATGTGATGAACATCTTATCAAGGTGCATGACGCAGCCGGCACAACGCGAAGCAGCGCTACAGGGGGCAGACGCAGGGATGCACAGATGCATTCTGGGAATCTACCGACCCTTTCAGACATGGAGGCAGGTACTGCTGGCTTCTGCTAAGCTAGGTTTTGATATAGACTGGGGTTAGGGTTAAAGAGTTTGGGCTTATTAAATCTCACAAATGTTCGCATTGTAGAGGAATATCTACGAACACACATTTTTCCCTTTTTTCTAACATTAAAAGTAATTAACAATATATTAAAGTGGCTTAAAAGTAAAGTATCAAAGATCTTTTTTGACCTTGATGTGGTTGAAAATGTTGATTATAATACAATAATTAAAATCCCCTGAGCTAAGCTTAAGAATCTTTACGGACAAGGTCCTACCTGGTAAGGGAGTGCTTTAATACTTTGATGGTAGAATCACTTTTAACATCAACACGTTAAATATGCAGCATATTCCCGTAATGGATCACACGTCTGAAAGGGGCTCTAGAGGGATGTAGGTGACAGTTCCCAAAGAGGTCCGAAATTACAGGACCCAGAAGAAAAAGCACTTATTTGACGTCAAAACTCATAAAAAGCTGCCACAGGCGATGAAGATGAAGATGAAGATGAAGATGGTGTTTCGACAGATGTTTCTCTAGGATGAGGCGTTAGAGGAAACTCCACACCAAACTGTACCCACAAACAAACACAGTGCCAACAGTGAGTACAAGAAGAACAAGAGGAGGGGGAAGAGGAGGAGGAAGGCTCAATGCTTAGCCGGGAACTGTCAACAGTCTTTCACACCAAGTTTCATGCAGCCCTCGTAAGAGGCGGAGCCTAAGAGACAGGTGCGAAGAGTGTGTAAGGGGTCACATGTGTAAAGGGGCGGGGCTAGTCACCAGGGGCTCCGTGTTCTGCTTGAGCTCCTCCAGATGCTCTAATATATTCTTCTTTGTGATGATGCCCAAAACATTCCTGAAACACACACTCGTTACTCGGTAAACTGCCCAAAAACAACATAAACAACAACAAATACATCCAAAACAAAAAACAGAAGAGAGACAGAGAGAGAGAACAGACAGCAGCAGCACAACAACATACATAACAGGGTGTAACTTCAAATAATAAACAGATAACTCAACGATAACATCAAGTAGAAATTAAGATTTAACAACTTCAATGACACAAACAAACAAAAAAATAGTTATGATGGAAAGTGTCTGTACTGGGTGTCACATCATTATAATAAACATGTAGTCTATTGTAAGTCCATCTAATGTATGCTGTCGAGTGTATACTTCCTACAGCAACAAATGTGTATTAATGCATTTTTAAAACACAGTGCCCGGCTGTTTGATATGTTTGACCTACTTTCATGAGCTTTGTAAACATGGACTACACATATAGAATAATGCCAGCCGTATCCTTTAAAATATGAGATGTTAATGAAAACAGAAACACTGCTGCACAGCTCCTCTCACAGCAAACTGAGAGAAGAGATCTGTAAATCGAGAAATATTAAACACAATGCTTCTTGTTATTCATACATCACACCAGCAGGGGGCTCTCTCTCTTCAGAGCACACACAAACTGCCTTTATTGACTGCTTCCCGACATGATACCTGTTATGCAGCTGTAGTTAGTTTCCTCAGCAGGAGAACATCTGTTATTGCTCAGTGGGGGGGGTAAAGGAGGTGCAGCACAGCGTTAGGCCATGCAGATTACAGGGAGGGTCCCAGATTTCAGAGCCCATGTAACACCGGCAGTGTTTACATGTGTTTGTTGACTTCAGACGGGCGAGTCAAACAGAACCAGGAAGAAGGACGCGAGAAGGACTCTCCTTCTGTCCTTACAACACATCCTTCCTCCACAGTATTTCATTTCCTACTTACCCGTTGTGAGTGACCAGGCACTGGCGCAGGCCCAGCTTCCTGAAGATGTCCACCACGATCTCCATGGGGGTGTGGTCGGTGACGGTGAAGGGGCTCATGTCCAGGATGGAGCGCAGCTTGAGGGGCCGCGGGCTGTCGGCGGCAGGGTGGGGGCGTGCTGCGTGAAGTAAACCCTGGAGTTCAGCATGATGCCCTCCTGCTTACGACGAGCGTTTTCTGTGAGAAAGGAACAGGAAAATACATTATAATTAAATATTTAAAAAGTTATTACACATTCAGAACCATTTTGGTTCAGCGTCTTACTTAAAGTGGACCTATCATGCTTTATTTGAATAATATAGTGTAGGGACCATACATATATAAAGGCATATTTATACTTTTTTTTTTTTTTAAATACCAAACCGATCATGCATTTTAGCCATGCCTCATTTTTGCTCAATTTTGAAATTTTTAGCTCTTTATTTGCAAGGCAGATTCAGTGAGAACAGCACCATCTACAGGCCTGGCATATGTACTACAGCGTCTCCAGCGCTTTCGAACGGCAATGGCCGTGGCTGTCTCCTCCTGATTGGATGGAGTTGGCCCAATAGCCGTAGCGCCACCGTCCTGACGTCAGGACAGTGTTCAAATCTGGATCAGTTTTTATCAGATCCGTTGCAGCCCCTTTTTTAGAGATTTGGGTATGGAGGAAAATAGAGAGGGTTGTGTTTTCTGACACTTTGGTGCGTTCACTGGAACACCGGGGACACATATTCATGTATAAAAGACGTACAAAAGTGCATTTTGCATGATAGGTCCCCTTTAAACTCCCCCGTTGGAATAATGGGTTATTGCATCTAATTAGCACACAATAAACATAATGATAACAACTTCCATTGAATTATGTGTTGTATTTAAATGAAATGGCATTATGTGCTAGGGCTGTGCAATTCATCGTATTTGAATCTCAATTACGATTTTGGCTTGCAACGATTACGAAAACAACGTAATCGAAATAAAACGATTATTATTGTATTTAAAAAAAAAAGAAAAAGAAAAGATGTTATTTTTTTTAAATGGTTTTTCAGCTTGAATTATACCTTTAAAGTTCAGGGTAATCAATTTGGGTGATGATATAGTCTACATGCTTTATAAACAGTCAAAACAGGAACAATTGATTTGAAGACAACACAAAGATTTCAAAACAGAACCATCCGTTGTGCCTCTCTTTTGTTCTGACACTCTCACTGAAATGAGAGAGAGTTTGTTTACCTATAGCGATGGTGATGTCCCTGCGCAGAGCGAAGCCCACCAGCCTCTGGGACTCCTTGGACACGATGACAGGGAAAACCGTTATAGCTGGTCTCGTTGATGGTGCTCTTGCAGCTCCTCCACCGTCAGGTCGTCCTGCGTCAGCACGGCGGAGCGGGGGGTCGCTGCGCCGCGGCCGCATCACGTCACTGGCCAGCGTCACGTGGGTGAACTCCTCCTTGGCGTCCAGGAAGGGGGTAACCGTTCAGACGGATGTGCGCCTCGTAGATTTCCCTGGCGACCAAACGCGTCACCCACCCACTTGCTGGTCATGACGGCGGCCATGAGGGGGACGATGTACTCAACCCCCCCGTCAGCTCGAAGACGATGACCACCAGAGAGACGGTCATACGGGTCACACCGCCTGGAGAGATAGAAGGGTAAGAAAATAACATCCAGACTCAAACTTGCACTATCACTCAGTTTTCCGCTGACTCACCCAGACATGCGGCGGCCCCCACCATGGCGTAGAGCCCCGGCGTGATGCAGTCGGCCCCCACCTCGCACCACTCTTTGAAACAGGAACCAGTCGTGGTGATAATACGCCAAGCTGCTCCACGCCGATGCCAACGATCCGCCCTGCGATCGCCCCGATGGCCATGCTGGGGATGAACAGCCCCGACGGTACCTGAGGGGGGGGGGGGGGACAGGAAGTGGGTTTAGGGTTAGGTAAAAATGAGACAGTATGAAGTTGACTTTTGATTGCGTTCTGGTCAATTTGTAAGCAACTGTGACTGAAAGAATATTGCTTTTATTTGACTTTTTTTATGGTTATTTGTATTAATTTGTTGTTATTTTTAGGTATAATAAATAAGATTTTCTTCTCCCTGCTCCTTTCCACCATGCGCTATATATAACAATACAAATAAAAACTAGTATAAGTGTACATGTTTTGTTTTAAAATAACTGCCATGTGTGGAATAAACAAATAAATAAAAAATTGTAATTCTATTTGGGAACTTTTTATGCATTTTCTTAGGAGTCGGGGATATGTCCAAAGAACTAAACAGATTATTAGTTTTATATATACACATGTATTTTTTTACTTCTTTGCTTTACTGTACTTCTTTGCTTTACGTGCTATCAACACCTCGAGGGCTCACCTTGAGTCCAAAGGTGAATATGGTCATGATGATCTTGAAGACGAGGGCCAGGCAGAGCTGCCAAATGGCGGCGTAGACCCCGGGCCCCGCGGGGCGGTTGGGGTTGTCGTTGAACGCCTTTGCTGCCGTTCATCTGGCTGCGGTACTGGCAGAGCTGCGAGGACTCCAGCGGGGCCGCAGTCTGTGAACAGCTCCTTTATCAACTCGCTGGTGTTCTGACGCGTGTACGGGTTGGGGAAAGCAAACACAGCGGTGACGGCCGTTACCAAGATCACCTCCAACACCGGGTACTTTCCTGAAGAGAGGGGAGATGCAACATGTCAGGATGTAGGAGGCTTAAAGCATGACAGCTGTACTTTTTCAAATATTCGTTTAACAAAGACTTGAGCCCCCTTTCCAAGCCTCAAGGATCCTTCTTCTGCCACCAACACCTCATTTTAATGTTTAGTAGATTATTAGATTTTTTGATACAACTGATGTTTTAATGGACTGAAGGGAGTGGAAGAACAATCCACTCTGTTACTTAGTCACTTTATGATGCAAATTCACTATTTTTGAGTGTATGAATGGTATGTTGTGCCGTGTATGGTGAGTGAAATGTTATCTTATTTACCAGTTTAAGACACGTTTCCATCATATGTAAATGTAATGGACAATAAAGTATCTGAATCTGAATGTCGTTCCCATTTTATTCAAGACGATGGCACTTTACTGCCAATATTTTCAACACTCGACAACCAAAACAACCTAGATTGATACATCACTTGCAGGTAAGAGGAAGATATTTTTCAATAATAAGGTGAACTGTCTTTTTATTGTTTTTAAATAGCTGCTTGCGAGAGAATTTAGTCATTCATCTCTCTACTCGGACGATAAAGCTGTCATCGTGAACCTTTTCATCTCCCAGACAGCCCATCATATCCAACATCTACCTCCACCTGGCTGACATATCCACATTTTAAATTTAAGACAGACTACTTGCCGAAGCGTGTGGACTTGCGCCGCCGGCACCAGGCGATGTTGGCCCGGATGAAGAAGGCTCCCCAGAGGCCTCCGAACACCCCCAGCAGGATGAAGGGGATGAGCGTCGAACAGGTACCAGGGAGTGTGGTACTCCACGTAGAACAGCACCAGACGGCTGTTCCCAAACGGGTTGATGGAGCGCAGGACGAAGGGCAGCAACCAGGGCGGCGAAGAAGGAGCGCCACAACGTCTTGAGAGGGAAGTAGTAGCTCACCTGGAGGAAGGGGTTCATTGTATTCATTATTCTGTCTTTAACACTGAGCATTGGGATTTTAAGCTTAAAAGAAAGCTTAAAGGTCCCCTATTATACTGTTTTTCATTACTTTATTATAGGGCTCCAAACACCAAACAGATCATTGCAGCATCCCATAATCCCCTCTGTTTCAGCCCTGTTTCCAAAGTGCTGATTCTCTGTCTGTTACTTTAGATGAAAATAAGGAGCCCCTCCCCACGCCCCTCTGAGAGATATTTGGTTAAAAAGAACACAATGGTGCTCTAGGAGGAGATTAAGGTGATAAGGTGGGGGGGGGTGTTACCTTGGTTGCTGATTGGCTAACTGGTTACACAAGACAACACATCGTTTATGACCCTCATAAAGTGGCCAAATCTGATCAGCTCATTTTCAGACAGGTTTTTATATAAATGGATCAGGACAAAAAAGAGAGAGAATCTTTGTTCCTGAAACTTTCAGGTCTCTTTACACAGAGGGGGACACATGTTGATGTAGAAGAAGACAATGAACAAGTGTATTTTGCACAATAGGTGACCTTCAACAGGCGCTTCTGGTGTGTTTTACCTCCTCCAAGCTGAAGAGCACTCCTCCAATCGGGGCTCCAAAAGCAACAGACACCCCGGCCGCCGACGCAAGCAGAGGAACCTGGGACACAAAACAAACGCACCTCAGCTGATAATAAAACACAGTCATATTACAGTCATGTTATATTTAATTTGTAACTAGCACCTGTTTCGGATTTGTAAGCATACCTGTCTGTACCGACTACCCAGGGAAAGGTCAGAGAATTTAAATGATTTGTATTTATGTACGCAAGAAGACTTAGAAGGAAAGGGGTAATGTATGTGTGTGTGTGTGTGTGTGTGTGTGTGTGTGTGTGTGTGTGTGTGTGTGTGTGTGTGTGTGTGTGTGTGTGTGTGTGTGTGTGTGTGTGAGCAATAACGTGTAGATTTGAGTGGACTGTAAACTGAGGCGGGTGTGATTTTTATGTACATCTCCATGTATGTTATATATTATAAAAACACAGTCATATTTTATAATAACAGAACACAAGGGGGAGCTTAAAGGCATCAAAGCGCGTCCGAAAATGACTGAAACATAACTAAAAACAATGAGTTAAATGTCTTGTCGCTCACCTCTCGTTTCTTTGCCTCGTTCTTGCTGTACTTGGGGAAGAGGTAGGAGAAGATGTTCCCGCAGCAGCAAGCCACGTGCACCAGAGGGCCCTCCTTCCCCAAACTGAGCCCCGAGGACACGGCTAACACCAGGGTGATGGTCTTTATGATCAGGGTCCACTTCCCCAGGTAGCCACGGATGATGAACCCACTGAGGATAGTCTTTATCTGGGGAGAGAGGATTCATATCATATCATATTTCTCCATGAGAAGCTTTGTGACATGAAGGCCTGTGTTATACTCTATAGATGTGACTGTATTGAACAAGTACAGTTGAGTCAAGAATCAAGAATATCAATCAATCAAGAATGACTTTTTTTTTTGCTTAGGCTGCTTCTCTACCTCAAATAGTTTCCTTTATTCTCCTTTTGTCACCATCTTTTAAGTCATTTTTCACTACACACAATTTCTATATACAATAATGAACATAATATATATTTGGCTATACAATGCAAATCCAGCTTTCTTGTTCTCATGGCAACAAAAAAATAAATGTTGAAAGCTCAGAGGGGGCTCACGTGAAAATAGCTTTTTTCACAGTGCGGTCAAACCTCCCTGCTCCCCACTGAATTAACAATTTGACGCCACTTCAAAACATAAAAGGGAAACACATACGAATGAAAACATTGCGTTTAGCTGAGTAAGAGGCCGTTCACAAGGCTTTCTATTTAATGTGCCACTTCGAGTTTCTTAATCCTGATGCAAATTGATCGGACGTGAGAAAATGAGAGCCGAGGGATAAAACGGAACGTCGATAATCTGCAGAAATCCTACAAAAGCACAATCACTCGCTCTGAAACAGAGAGAGGAAAGACAAAAAGAGACAGCTGCTGACCTCATTAGCTGGATACAACTTCAGGCTATGAGCTTACATCTTTTACAAATTGAATAACTGTCAAAAATCTCTTGGATGTTGGAGTTCCCTTTGAGAACTTCAATGCAGCACCCAGAGGTTTACAAAACGATCCCTGCCTGCATGCAGCCGATTCTCCTCACCTCAGGTAAAGTGTTTCGTAAGAGATATTCTCCTCACCTCAGGTAAAGTGTTTCGTAAGAGATATTCTCCTCACCTCAGGTAAAGTGTTTCGTAAGAGATATTCTCCTCACCTCAGGTAAAGTGTTTCGTAAGAGATATTCTCCTCACCTCAGGTAAAGTGTTTCGTAAGAGATATTCTCCTCACCTCAGGTAAAGTGTTTCGTAAGAGATATTCTCCTCACCTCAGGTAAAGTGTTTCGTAAGAGATATTCTCCTCACCTCAGGTAAAGTGTTTTCGTAAGAGATATTCTCCTCACCTCAGGTAAACTGTTTCGTAAGAGATATTCTCCTCACCTCAGGTAAAGTGTTTTCGTAAGAGATATTCTCCTCACCTCAGGGATCCCCGAGCCGCAGGCGTAGGGAGCGAACACTTTGACCAGACAGACGGCCAGGGTGGCGAAGGACAGCGCCCAGTAAGTGTACATGAAGTAGTTCATGATGTACGAGCCGGGCCCCTGCAGAGGAAGGAAGAGAGGTGACACCGTGAGAATCTTAGGAGGATCACGCACATAATGTGTGGATGTGACTGAGAGCACGTCTGAAACAAGGCATGTGTGTCTGCATAATCCTTGTACACTGTTTATTAAGTATTTGCTCCGTTTGGCTTTTTAACAGAAATTACATTTTGCTCACTCACTTGTTTTTTAACATGGGAGTTTATTGCAATTAAATCACAATCAATATTTCCTGCATGTATTTGGTAGCCTACCAGCAAAGGGAAGGATGCTGCCCTTTGTGCTACTGGTTGTCTATTTTCACAACATTAATTTCCTGTCGCCTCATGAAGAACATGTTTTTTTCCACTACAAAGATTTGATGAATGATATCATACCAGCCCTCTGTGGATGTGGTGTTCGGCTCAAGCCACTTCTTTGTAATTACTTTTCTAGCAGCTACACTCACTAGTCCCAAAAAGCATTTGTTTAATATTTAAAATGCCCAAAAAGGAGTTCATTCTTTTAATAGTCTGTTTTTATCTTATTCTACTTCATGTAAATAGTTTACTTATTTCTGCATTTACTTGCACATTGGTCACTTGTAACATTCTCTTGCACTATTTCCATTGTTAATGTTAATGTATATTTAAGTTGCATTGTTGGAAGAGCCCGGGCCTTTCCATTGCCAAAACTACACTGTAGCTCTTGTGCATATGACAATAAAGCCTTTGATATAGATAATGTGAATGTACAGTTGTCCCCCAGCATGTTCCTGTGTCAGCTACCTCTGCCTGCCCCAGTATTAGCTCAGCCCAGCTCTTCCACTGAGGACACTTGTCCCGCTCAGCGAAGGTGGTCTCATTGGACGTCCAGCAGCACTGCTCGCGGTTTAACCACATGGCGCTCAGACACACACCCTCCTTCAGGTCGTTCATCCAATCAGCAGCAATGTCAATCAGGCCAGCCAAAGCACCTGGCAGGAGGAGGGAACCAGGAAGTAAAGGAGGTGGAGGCAGGGAGGAGAGAGGAAAAGGGGGAAAGAGGCAGAGGCACTTAGCTTGCTAATTTATAGCATGTTGAGAAACAGTGAAGTGGACGCAAGTCGATAAAAGTCGCCGTATAGAAAGAAATTACAAAAATATCTAAAAAAATATCATCATACATTATTTTAATAAATATTATTTTGTAAAGTTTTAAAACAATGTTCACATGTTCCAGGTGAGACCACAGTGTCACTGGCTCATTCAAGTCATACATATGTACATCTGTACCCCAGACCTTTCATGTTTTAAATCCAAATATTGGGGGTAAACTTTAAACTAGGGCTGTGCGATTATGGCAAAAATCATAAATCACGATTATTTGGGTCAATAATTGATATCACGATTATTAAAAACGATTATCCATTTACTTTGAAAACAACAAATGTGAACAGTATGTGTTGAAACAGTTGATTACCCTGAACTTTAAGTATAATTCAACTGAAAAACCAATAAAAAAAAATTATTAAAAAATAATAATAATTACATTTTTTTTTAAATAAAAATAATAATCGTTTTATTTCGATTACGTTGTTTTCGTAATCGTTGCAAGCCAAAATCGTAATCGAGATTAAAATACGATTAATTGCACAGCCCTACTTGTGGCATATTTTGCACTTTTCCCTTCATTTTGAACCTGGATCTTAAATACATGTTACAGAATCTGCTCCACAAGGTGATGATCATAGAGGTTTAAATACTTGGTACCACTTTACAATAACACTACCCTTATTTACGAATAGCTTGTAATTAATTTATTAATTAGGTTGTGAACACTATATAAATCATTAATAAGCTTTTATAAGACATGAGATAAACAGGGCAACTGTGACCGGTTGCTTGCCAAATAGTGAGCCCACATGTATCTGTACTGCTACGCCTTATTAGAAATGGTAGTAAGTTGTAACTCATTAATAAATGGTCATAAAGAGATGCCAAGAAACATCAAGATGGAAGGGGGGGGATCAACTCAGTGAACAACAGATACCAAGGATGCTGGCTGATGAAGACGAAGTAAGCTAGGTAGCCAATATAAGGCTTAGTCATCTTGCCAAATAGTGAGCCTGTGTTGACGTATGAAAACTATTGGTTTATAAATGGTTCTTAATGATTAATAAAGTGTTTACAACCTAATTCATAACCTAATTCATAACCCTTTATGAATCCGTTATAAGGGTAGTCTTATTGTAAAGTGGTACCCAATACTTTGTGTAGATTAACGCGTCTGCTGAGGCTCATGCAGGGCAAAGAGAATGCGTGTGTTTGTGGTTAAATGACAGCAAAAGATGGAGAGCGACCAAGAGAAAGTGAGCTGCCTGAGGCAAAGCATGTGAGAGTCATCAGCAGAGGAGATACAGCCATGTGTGTGTGTGTGTGTGTGTGTATATAGTGTGTGTGTATAGTGTGTGTGTGTGCATTAGTGCTACCTGAGGCCAAGCCAGTGAGCGTCACCACCAGCCACCCGGACCAGGCGTCGTACAGGCTCTTTGTGAACTCCCATGCCGAATCCTTTTTCTTACTGTTGATCTAAAAACACAATAAAAAAAATGTATTAAAAGACATATAATACAAGACATTATATAGAGAGGCGAAGTCCCTCCCCTTCCGGTGGACCTCCATGGGACATTATTTCGGTAAAAGTATGTATTGAAGTCAATGGCGAGAGAAAGATTATCTTTCGATCCCGTTTGAATTGTGCCACGAATTACACATATGATGTTTGTCAATTTAAAAGATAGTTTTGCAAGTCAAAAAAAATAAAAATGTGTCGTAAAACTGTGAAGTAACACTTTTTTTTTGTGTGAAACCGCTCAATGAACTACATCTCCCGTCTCGCACCACACACCAAGACGGCCGTCACGTTGGCACATTTCACTTCTTTCTTTCAGAATGAGGCGAAAAGTATTAAAAGAGGTGAAAATCACTCCAAGTCTGGGCATGTTGAGAGCTGTACATACACACAAGGGGAGTTAGTCGGTTCCGTAAGAGCCAGCATGCGGGACCGGGATTCTGGGATTTGTAGTCTTTCTAGTTGCATATTTTTCATAGTCTTATATTTCAACAGTTTTACGACAAACTGTGACTTTTTTTGACATGGAAATGATTTTTTAAGATTGACAAACATCATATGTGTAATTCGTGGCACAATTCAAACGGGATCGAGAGATAATCTTTCTCTCCCCATTTACTTCAATACATCATTTTTCCGAAATAAGGTCCCATGGGTCGGAAGTAGATGGGCGGGATGCTCTGCAAAGGCTAAAATCCCTGTGTTCCCTCCAAAGGAAGTTTCTCTCCCACACACTCTTCCCCCCCCCCCCCCCCCCCTGCCTGAAACGCCTCCATTGGACTCCTTTGTTTACTTCTGTACCATAATGACATCACTATGTTATACTTGCAATTCTATTGTCTAGCGCTCCAACACATTGTAAATGATAGGTTTCAGACAGAGGGTGAAAAGAGGTGCTGCAGTGAGCATAATAAGGGCCCCTTTAAACAAATTGACTTAAACTGGCAGTAATGCAAGTAGGTCAAAGGTTTATGACTGCAACATCATGATAAGCGGTTCAGTTATCTACTCTAGTGCCGGGGTGTTATGCTTCTATAAACAATGAATTCATGTAAGCCAGTTTGTGTTTGACTTTTTAAGTATTTAAACATCATTCAAATTCGCAGAGTTATCCTGCACTAAATCACTTCTGGAAAGCGGGCTGAAGTGCTGTGTCAATATTTGCATAAAAGTGTTTACAGAGAGGTAGTATCGCTGACCGCAGATAAAGGGCAGGAAGCCGACAGTCTATTGTGCCTCCCTTCACTCCGGTTCATTCATGAGTTTATGCTAATGAAGACTGTGAGAGGTCGTTTAAAGCTAGTAGGAGGAACATGAGACTTGTTTATGTCAAACAAGATTATTGCAATATCTAAAAAGTTGTGGAAATAATAACGGTTTTGAAACAGAAGATCATACATTTATTTGGCATTATTATTATTTTTTTAAAGATTTCATTTGGAGATCTTGTTGATATAGTTTCAGCCATCAAGGCAAAAAAAACGCTGATTCTTATTACCCAGTTGTTCTGTTGTGTCATCAAAACAAATCTTTGCAACACAGGAAGTGTGTTGAACATCACTTCCTGTGCGGCATAGCAATTTTCGCTGACAACAGCTAAGCAGGTTACATAAATGAAAATAGGCTCATCTATGAGGATAGTTGTGAGTGCTGTATCAATTTAACTTTTTATTAACACTCACTCTGAGCAGTGAAATCCCTTTGATATTCTGGTCATGTTTTAAGACTTAAGGCTGCAGTATCCTTTAGTAAAAGTGCTTATTGGACTGCTTAAAGGCAGGGTTATATCATAAAATAAAGTCGTTTTTAAATGTGTTCTCTAACCGCGGCACAAATCAAAAGTTTGTATAGTTGTTACGAACTGCCACACTTGAAAGCTAAGTAAAAAGCTTACCCTCATAGAAACACAATATTGTTGAAGTACAGGGATAAGAGCACAGTTTTCAGGAAGACGTGTTAGTGTTGCATTCAGTTGTTTATATGAAAAGTGCTCAAAATTCTAGCGTGTTTGAAGCGTTCTGAGACTTTAAAACGTTTTTTCAATAGTTTTATTTTTAGCTAGCCCCGGTCTCCTCACCTTTCGGTGCCTCTCGCGGTCCTTGCACTTCTCTCGGACCCAGTCGATGGTGTGGAAGTCGTCGTAGGTCCCCACACCAGGGATGGGCTCCTCTAGGAAGTCCAACAGGTGGGTGGTACTGCTGGGTGCCCCGCCCCCGTTAGACATGACGTAGTTAGACCCTGAAGAAGAGAGAACGTGAAGTATAAGAATTCACCATTCAACTCTGTACATAAGGGCTTTAAAACTTTGAGATGTTTTATTCCGAAAGAAGCATGTTATATCAGAACAATTAAAAAATCTCTGATTAGCAAGTCAAGTCCAGTCTCTTGAACCTGTATGAAGCAAGTACCAAATCAAAAGGAAAAGCTTGTGATGTGCTATTTTGTCCAAGCTGCTTTGCCGTTCATTGAATCCTTATGCTCCTGAAAAGAAACTATATCCATCACAGCGCTGCCTGCTGCACATTAGAGCTGCATCTCCTCGATTACCCGGCCCATCAGAAACACTGCAGAGCTAAACACAGTCATCACGGAGAGTTAATGACACAGCTAGGGAACCCTGCACTCCATCACCTCCAACAAAAGCAATAAACAGAGTGGAGGTTTATCTGCAAAGCTGGAACATTTGGACGAGTGAACTCTGCAGTTACCTGGAGGTAATCTTTCATGCAAATGTATAAACTGGAACTTCTGAGGGGAATAGAGCTGCTCGTACTTTTCATTTTTTACTGCTCTAGTTGTCTTTTATGTTTGGAACAAAGATTGGTTTCAAAAAGTCTTCTGCAACTTCTACTATAAGCTCTTTATAAAAGACCTGGTTTACATAATGACATTTGGGGGGGGGCTTTTTCGTGAAGCCCTAAAAACGACAGTCCTTTTTAAGCGTAACAACTTTAACTACTGACATTCTGGCAGTCTCATTACCTTTGATCTGATTGTATTGGCCTTCACAGACAATGTGCCTGTATGCCTAATAACCAAGTACAGTCTGTTCAGTAATGACTTTTATATGAGAATGATTAGTTACAGAATATATTAATTATTTAACAACAAAAAATACAAACCAAACTTGGTCCACTGCTGTTTAGAAGATGTATGCCGATGTTTGTATTAGTTTATTATAGAAATGTTCTTAATAACAACATGAGATACTGATCGTCTCGGGGTGAGATCTGATCACACACACACACACACACACACACACACACACACACACACACACACACACACACACACACACACACACACACACACACACACACACACACACACACACACACACACACACACACACACACACACACACACACACACACACACACACACACACACACACACACACACACACACACACACACACACACACACACACACAACACACCACCACACACAACACACACACACACACACACCACACACACCACACACACACACATAACACACACACACACACACACACAGCACACACACACACACACACAGCACACACACACACACACACACACACCACACACACACACACCACACCACACAACACACACACACACACACACCACACACACACACACACACACACACACACAAACACACACACACACACACACACACACCACACACACACACACCACACACACACAAAATCCTCCTTTCATCCCCGTTATCAGTCTTTAATCAGAAACACACTGTCGCTACTGTTTTAAAAAAAGAAATGATGGTTTTACCTAAATTCTGTAGTCTATTTTCAAGGTTGTATCTCAAGAATTTCAGGTGTTTATAAAAAGAATTAGGAGGTACTAAAATGTCGTATATCAACCTAACTTTCTGGGGTTTTCTTAAAAGTTTTACCCAACTGTTTGTATTAATTTATACCTGATTTTGCACTTTATTATACACATCTGTTTCATGGGTTATATCCTATAAGCCAATGTCAATGGAGCTAATAGTGCACAACTTAACAAATATTATCAAAATCGAAATATGGACTGGTGCAATATTCAAAACAAAGTTATCTGGAAAACATCAAAGGATTTTCATTGCTGCCAACTGGCTCTCCTGGTTTCATATTAAAAAAAAGTCTTTATAATGTCCTTAATTATCATCCTAATAACCTAGCAAGTTATATAAGAGGGCCATCTCATTAATATAAGAAATGCACTGCCACATATGTATAATCTCACACAAAGTGTAGATAATTATTAGCGAGAACCCCTACTCTGACATTTTGAAATGCCTGATCCGCCCACTCGTGATGACGCAAAAAATTGGAGACTTCTTCGTCTGCGACACAAAGGCAGAACAGTGTTTGACGCGGACAAAAGGGAGACAAAGGGCAATGGTTAGACAATATCGGAATCACAAGTTCAACTGGTTTATCCTGTCTGTGTATAATATCAGATTGATCAATATGACAATGGGTGTAATTACTGTGTTTTTACAGTAAATGTCAAATATAGACTCTGTGAGGCACTGAACAAAGGATGCAACCAGTCTTAGAAATTGTACAGTGGCTGCTGAAGGTAAGGGTGTGAATGCTGAAATGTGGGCGAGAGCAATGCCGATCCAATGACACACAATGGATAATACTAAATATTGTGGGACACACACATTCCAGTCCACAATACATTTTTAATCTGCTGAGCAAAACTTCAACTGGGGCAGGTTCATTAGTTTAAAACAAGGCCTCATTCATAGCCTCTGTGATCTACATTAAAACATTAAAAACCTCAGAGGCCTCTCAACAAAGCCATGAAACAGATCATAAAATGGCATTAACAAATCTGCATCCTTTATAAGCATGACAACACAGCAGCTGCTATAACTAAACCAAGGTATTCTCATATAACTATAAAGGCAGTTGGAGAGCACAGACCTCCTAAGCCAAATATCGTATCTCGCAAAAATTGAGTAACCCTATGATTCGGATTCACTCCAGAATTATTGGCTACTTCCTTGGCTAAAGCTCGATCCCTCCAACAAGTTTAACTACAATCTTGCCAGTAGTGTTTCCATAAACCTAGTAAGAAACAGACAAACTCACCTAAGTGAAAACAAAACCTCCTTGGCGGAAACACAACTCAATGTTTCAAAATATTAATCCACAACAGGCTGAAAAGATAGAAGCACTGAGAATCAGGCGCATCGAATTACATGTCAGTTGGTAATATAACTTATTTTTTATCCTCAATAAGTGAGACATAACCAGCAGATGAATCCAGTTTTCCACAGTACCAATGTGGGCCATGATACCGCCTTTGAAAGAAAGTGAGGCTTATTAGCTCATATCACTGCCTTTGATGTTTGATGGGATGTGAGAGGGAAAGAAATCGTAAACCCTTTGGGGAGATTTTCTGTAAGAAGCAGAGCCAAAATGGCCAAGTGTTTATTTCTTCTGACCGGGCGATACATGTGGTGTTCAGAGAGGAGAAAGAGGGAAGTGAGCTACTGTTGTGGAGTCAGCAGCAGTGAGAGTCATGTTGGCAGGGAAAGACTGTTTCTATCATTCTCCATTTTGATTTCAGAGTGACGGCTACAGTCTGAACTGTGCAGGGAAAGTGCGTGTGTTTGGGTGATGACTCTGATATGGACGTCTGTTCTTTTGGACAGCACCAAGATTAAAGTTGACCTTTTCTGAACCTATCAACAAACCGACTAGACACCTGAGGGCCAAAATAAAAACAGGAGAGCTGTGTGTGATTCCCTTAGGAAATGTTTACGTGGTTATTATATACGAGTCATCAGTTTGTACTTCTGCATTGTAAGCACAAGCCTTTTTCAGTCAAAATAAAGCCAAGACCTTCACGATTTGGGAAATATGAGACATGTATACTAAGGACACAGCACTTTATATTGATTTCTTTCAACGCTCTTCAAATTACCCATTTAACAAGATGGTCACGGTTATGACTTTGTGGACTTTTTGGCACACCTTTAAGTGATTGTCTTGGATTGTGCTCATGTTACAAAATTCCCAGAACAGTGCATTTTTTTTTTCCTGGGTCAAAAAACAATACAGGCTTTTAATAAAACAACAAGCAGACCCACTTCAGGGCACACTAGAAACACCGTAGTGGGGGAAATACTGACGACAAACACAAATATGGTTAAAAGAGATGTCTGCAGCATTTACTCTCACTGCCCAGCAATGAACATGTTCGTGCTACAAACTGAATTCTTAATGTTTCTTGGCAAATGAATAATGGTTTGTTTTGAATACACGTGCAACTGTAATGCTTAGTGCAACTAAAACTGCAAACAACACAGAAAAATAATTTCCTAATTTGGGATAAATAAAAGACTGCAACTCCTCACTGAAGTAAATTGGCAACATGTAGAAACAGAATGAATGTGGCTTAGGATAAATCAGACGACTGATGATGCTGCACTACTGGCATTCATCAGTCGAATCCAGACTGTGTAGTCAAGCAAGGGTGACGCCACAGAGAGTACAAGAGAGCTATCAAGGTGTTTGACAGAAAGCCAAATTCATACCACCACTGTACCATCCTTGAAAAACACAATTTCTTGAGTTTTGACAATTTTAAGTCTTTTAAAAGTATGTGTTTTTTTTATAAATGTTTACATGGACTGCCCCCCCCCCCCCCCCCTCAGGGGAATTCATCCACAAAAAACACACTGGACGCTGCACTAGGTCAGAAACCAGAGGAGACTGAAGTCCACCGCAGACGGACCACTTTTGGACAAAATGTACTTTCCATTAAAGGCAGCTCATTGTGGAATAGCCTCCCAACTCAGATACGGGATTGTCCCACTGTCAATAGTTTTAAAGGTCAACTCAAAGAATGGTTGAGAAACAACCAGACGTGCAATCACCGCTAAATGCACTTTAACACAGGGGTATCTCCTTTTGCACTTTATGCATCTCTTATATCATCACTTAATATGTCGTTGCTGCTATAGTGTACTGCCATGTGGTAAATACTGTGTGCTGCTCTTGCTCTTTCTGCATATCATGTATTTATTATTTGCTATGTTTACAAATGTCAAGTTCTTATATGTTGTATGTCAGGGACTACGGATGGAAATTAGCTCAAAGCTAAAATCCGGCATATTTACACTTGAAGCATTATTTGTCTAAAGTGTTCATTAATGTGCATTGTCCCTATTCAAATAAACGATTAAATGAAATGAAATGAAAAACACTAAAGGAGCTGCATCTGATG